CAACTGCTTTGCTGCCTTTTGTAACAGATAAAGTGCCTTTCCCACAGTTTCAAACAACTTTCACTCACCAAGATATCAAAACTGCCAACGGCTGCACTGAACTGTCATGGGCTCTAGTTCCCCATCATTCTACAAGACAGCAAAGTCAGTACAAATACTGCGGCATATCAAAACCTGAAAGCATAGAGACAAAATGAAAAAGTTTGCATTTAATTGCAGAAAGGCTAGGTTACCAGTTGCATTATTCATGTTCATATTTAATTCATTTAAAACATCCAAATTTAAATTTAAAGACAGCTGCAACAAACATTCCCACTTGCCATAGAAAAGCAGTGCAGAACTTGACACAATTTAAGTTCAGCTTGCAATGAATACACAGGACCGCAGCTGTTAAACACCTTTGATATGAGTAAGATCACATCAACTGAGTTGATACAAACTAGTTCAGCTTTTGTAGACTGAAACTATCACACAAAGAAGGAATTAAAAGACTAGATCTGATTAGTAGCAAAAAGGAGAGACACTGCAGGAGAGGCATATAAAAAATGAACAGCACACAGGGAGTGAATTGGGGACTCCAAATTATCCCTTCCACAATGCAGCAGGGCAAACCTATAATATTAAAAAATCCCCAAGTATATACCAGGGAGAAGGAAGTTTTGTTTATTGGGAAGTAACAGACCTGCAACTTCCTCATGGACACAGGCATTAAAAAGCAAACCAGTATTTACAACTGGATCAAATGATGAAACACACAGGCCATTGGTACTCCCACCTTAAGCAAAAGCTGACTGAAAGGTGGGGTGACCAGCCAAATCCTGCCTGCCACATTACCACATTAGCTGCTGCATTTTGGCCAGGAAAAGCTGAGCGCTTGCCTTCCTGCCAGGCTGCCGACACCAGCTTGAGATGGAGTTGTGACCGCCAGTGATCCCCTGCATTGCTTTACACCAAGATTTACACCTCAGATGTATTTTCATTTTTCTTGCTCAAAAAATAAAGGCGGCACAGAGGCAGCCAGGGCTGGGAAGAGCATCCCAGGGCATCCCCAGCTCAGACTGCCACTCTTTTCATCAGCCACGCCGTACAATCCTCAGCACAAACATTGCCAAAATGCATTTTAATCTAATTAAGTTCTCCCCCACACGCACTGCTTTTACCAAGAAGCTCTTCCAAAAGCTCATCCTGATCATCCCTAAGGGGAGAATGATTCTATTTACCTGTGCCAGATTGGAAGGGACCTTCAGGGTTGTAGGGTAGCCTGCTCTGCAATATTCTTCCACTAAATGCTGGCAACTGCAATGTCAGCAAAACAAAAAGTGAGAAAATGTGGGTGGAAGATACTGTCACAGCAATACAGACCTCTTAAGATGCATGTAATCTCTTTATCTACAAAGACTCCACTCTTTCGGAGTGCATAATTATGAAAAGAGTTAAAGCTGAGGTTCTTAATGTCTCTTATAGGCACTTCTTTATTCCACTAAAGGCACCACTCACATCTGAATTATTTCCTGGGGTTGTTTGGACTTCCTATTATACGAGGAAGATTATGGTGAACCTTGGGATGGAGGCCAAGTGAGTTCACAGCACTACCATGTCTGATTGAAAGGGTAACTGAAGCTTTGTTGACAGCGTGCCAAGCTTCAAACCTCTTTGGACAATGCAGTTGCCAGCAGGCAAGATGTTTTCAGAAAGAAGAGGAAGAAAACTACCAACAGTGAAGCTGAAAAATGGTTTTATTAGATCGGATGCATACCCAACAGATTAGGATCATGAAAAAAAAAAAAAGAAAATCCTGCATATTGCCAGAGGACTGTGAGAATGACACTTCTTGGAAATCCCATGGGACAGTGACAAGAGAATCCCAGTGGCTTCTCATAATGCAAAATGCCTGCAGTCATTGATTTGTTTCCCCACAAAAGCATGGGTCTTGAGGACCACGACCAGTCCAGCTAGTAAAAATGCCTTCCACATAATCTCTGCTTCAACTGAGTTTTTCTTCATGGGTATCTTTCCATCAAACACTATCAATATTTCCAATAATAAAGAGCTATCCCTTACAAATTCCCTTGCGAAATGTGAGGGCAGCATTATCTGTTCCTGCCCATCAAGGGTGATGGCAGTGCTGCTATTCCAGCTTCCGAGATGAAGGCTCAGGCCGCCACGCTGGGTCTTGTTTCAGCACCATTCTGGAAGCCCTTTTGTGCAACACGTGTTACACAGGAGCATCCAGTTGTACCCCAACCTGAACAGAAACCAGGCACAGAGACATGATGAGTAGATGCATATAAACACCTCAGCCTGCTCATTTAACATCTTTTTTTTGCCATTTTTAATTTTTGTGGTGGAGAAAGACACTTTCAGCCTACTTGAGAAATTAGAGGACTGCCAGCATGTGATTTGAAACACGTTACCTCTTTCACACCGGACTTAGCTCCTCAGATTTCTGCCTGACCTGTGGACACCATAACTTTTGCTGGTCTAAAATCATGGGTTTTCCCCCTCAAAGCGTGCTCTGGTGAGCCAGCCGACTGACCCCTCTTCTGGGTAGAAGCCAAGGACCAGCAGACAGCTCCCAGCATGACCCTGAACACCAACCTCCTCGGAGCCAGCCACAACTGACATGGAGCACTAAAATGAAATGACAAACAAATGGTTACGTGGGACCTGAAGGGAACTGTCAAGAGCGAGTAGCTGCAAAGCTTGAAGAAGTGAGTCAGAATTCATCCTGATCAACAGGTTTATTTCCTTCCTTGTTATCGTCGTCCTGGACAAGACTGGAGTTTTACTTCTCCTTGTCTGTGCAAAGCCACATTTTGGCAGATCCGAACAAAGGCTGATGAAGCTACAGCACCTCTGAAAGCATCTCTCCTGGTCAGACCTCAAGGGTCCTTACGTTCATACCAGGGAATTTTTCAAAGAAACACTGTAACAATGAATGTTGGTATTTCCATCTGGAATACGGATGCCCTTGTGTGATCTGAAATATATGATGGCTGCAAACCATTACTCCTCTGTCTACCAGAAGGATTTTGTGTCATTTTCAACATCTCTCTCTCTCTGGAACTAATTTTATCTTTCTACCATGTAAGAAGTGGACTGATAAACTCCAGACTTCATGACTGGCTTCTCAGAAACACATTCTTGTGAAAAATGTTAAGACACTGAGGTGTCTCGAAGATGTGATCATGAGCAACACACTTCCTTAGCCCCCGAGCCAAGCCTCAGGGGAGAATACATTTTAAGAGAGACAAAAACAGTAAAAAAATTGGATAGACCATGTCTCTACAATGAAAATATAAACTTTATGACTTCCGTTTGAACACCTTTGGGATGGAGGGGAGAGGAGATGGGTCAACCTCCTAGCAAATGACAGCTGGATCATCAGACGCTGCTGAGTCAAGCTCAAGGGAAAGCCAATGGCTCAGGATGAGGGCGAAAAACAGGGACCACTGGAAGGAATCACTCACCACTGCAAGGGAGGCTGCAGCAGTCACCACCTCTCACGACCGCAGAGAAAACGAAATAAAACCTTGCAAGATTCCAATAAAGGTTTCCTGCTCTCAAAAAAAAACCCAGCATGGGCCTCGGCTCAAAATAGAAACATCTTTCCATGTATCACTGTGAGCAGACCTTGCTCTCCATGAAGACTCAAGAGGTTGCAATAAAAACTACATGTTTGGCATGCTCCAGGAACAGGACACCCAGGCTGAGAGGAACGGAGAGAGGAAAGGGCTTAATAAAAAAGCCAGGTGGCATAGTCTGGCTTGAGTCTGCTAAGAGGAAGGCCCTTAACATACTGAATCCTCTCAGTGCAGACTTTCCTACTGATGAGCTGGGAGTTAAAGCCGGCCTGCTCTACATCTGCCATTTCTGTAGCAACGGGAGTGAGCAGTCTGGCCCTTCAAATCCTCTTTAGAAAGACGGGGGTTGACTGCTGTACAAAATTCACACATTGTTGAAAAGTCAGAACGGCTTTTGTTTTAACACTGGTGTTGCTTTGCTTCTTAAAAAAAACCCCACACATACAGAAAAAAAACCCAGTGCAAAACCTAAAGCCTCCCCATGCAGGGCAATATAGAATCACAGAATGGTTTGGGTTGGAAGGGACCTTAAAGATCATCTAGTTCCAACCCCCCTGCCATGGGCAGGGATAAACATCAATCAGAGGATCCTGTGTTGCTCCTCCCCAAGACAGTACTACGTTCAAGGCTTGGAGCAAAGACTTGGGCTGCCTTCCATTGCCAAGGAGATAGGGAATGGCCCACCATGAAGACTGGATGATGCAGTGTAGACTTATGCTAATCATACAAAGCCAATCCCCTGTCATTACAGTTGGGGTTAAAGAAGCTTCATTATGCTCCAGAATTATTTCAGCAGATCCCTTCATTGCCGGTCCTGCTGCTGAACTGACTTTCAGGCTTTGCCGTTGTTTCCCCTTGGATGAGCAATGCCCACATAGCACATCCCAATGTGAATGAGGCCACCAAGACCATGGCTCACCATAAATGTTCTGAAGGAGCTTTGGAAAAAGCAGCCGTTTCTGGGTGTTAAGCAGAAACATTCCAAACATGCCAAAGCAAGGAGCTGAATCTGTGTGCCCTAGCCTGATGGTTCTGCCACTGAACCATCTGCATTATAACTGTTTGGAGTCAGCAAGACTCACATAGTCAAAAGTTAAAGTTTTATGCCTTTAGAAGAAGAATGGGCTACAGCAGTGGAAGCTATCTACAGTGGCATGCCAATGTACCCAACACCCAACCCATGGAAGTCACCTTGAAGTAGAGGAGAAAATTTATCACACACGCAGCACCCTGTAGTCCTGACCCCAGCGTATTCTGACCATGCCCTGACACCCTGATGGCGGGGAGCCAGGCCACATGCCAGTTTTGCACATACTTGGGTTTCCTTTCAAAGCAATCCCAGGAGCACGGAGAGGTGCAGAGAGATGGTGCACCCCAACAAGCCTCTGTGCTGGGTCACGCATACCCTGTCACCCAGGGACAAGCTGGAGGGCACACACCGAGAGCAGGGTGCAACGCAGAGCACTCCCTCCCACGAGGGTGCATCCAGCCTGTGGAGGCTCAACAGGAAGGCTGAACTGACACAGCAATGTGGCTATTTTAATCTGCACTGAGCCAGCCACATGCCAAATCCAAAAGCTATTAATG